TTTGGTCTAGTTTGTTTTAATAGCTTTAATGGTTACGATTTTAGTCATAATTTTGGACTTTTATGGATTTGTGGTCCCTTTGAATTAGAGTGGTAATGGTTTTATTGAATTTTTAGGATTTTTGGATTTTTGCAGATTAGTTGCTGTCACAAACTGCAGCATATACTTGATCTAATGAAATTTTCAGACAATAACTTTAGTTAATTTGGATAGCTCCATCACCAGACCTCCGACATCCCCAAAATGATTTCCAAATATTTAATAACTTAATTTCTTTGTTGGTCGTAAAGATCAATTGTAATCCATGACATCCCTTAGTTGACGCCTATACCTAGCTCTATTGCTGGCTATTTAATAAGTTAATAAACTTTAACGAAATTCCAGCAAGGATCACCACTGCAATGCTGTTTCAACCCAACGTGCGTAGTATTTCTCTTCATACCTCCTTCTTTTCCACATTCCAGTTTGATATAATAATAACAACATCAACATCATCATCATTTAAGCATAACATAATTATGAGTAATTTTGGTCACAAATCATTTCTAATTTACTTGATGGAAGAATATGAATGTGAGCAGAAAATGAGGAAGGGAAGGAAAAGCTACAAATGAACTTTTTCACACGCGTTTGCTTTCGCATGGCTATTTTATATCGATGCGACGCAATATGTATAGAATTAGGGAAGGAAGTTGTTTAATTATGTTGGATAGTGATAATTTAGGAATGGAGGTTTTTGCAGGCATTTTTGTGAGAACATAAAAATAATTTAATATGGCTAGATTATGCAATTTAATTTGAAGCAGCAACGAGAAGAGCTAAAAAAATTAATTTATACAATTAAGCGTATGCAGGAAGTAGACGGCTTCTGGAATATTAAAGTAAATTTAATTCAATAATGTAATATGAAATTTTGGGGTGAAGCCAGACTGCTTTTCGAAAATGAAAGATTGTGGGAAGATCGCCACAGTGATCGGACTGAAGGGCTCTGTAGGTGAACTTACATGTGAGCATTGCCACTGGTAGCTATAGATACGAGAGCAAAGGTGTGCACAAATGAAGAACCACTTCTTCTTCTGTCTCAGCATAACATCCAGACCAGAGTTGCTAGATAAGCACATGTGACTGATTTGTCATAGGCTGTAAATTGTCACAGATCTGTCAAATCTGTTGACAGATCTGTTAAATCTGTTAACAGCTATGACAGATCTGTGAAAGACAATACAATGGCTATTGGCAGGAGATGACAGGCGACAGAAAAGTGACAGATCGCAACTCTGATGCAGACAGCCCAACAAATGCAACTTTAGATGCTCAAATACAACCAATAGCACCAATCCACCATTTAAACATTCTTCATCTAATCTTCACCACTCCAAATAATTGTTCAGCTCACAAACATCGCAGTCCAATTCCAAAAATTTCCCACAACAGCAACTTATCACCTTTAACATCCTCCACAAACAATAAGCTTTAAATAAAACGGATGTAACAACGATGACATAAGAAAAATAGAAGCAAGTAATTCAATTTATGGCATTGGATCTCATACATCATCATCACATTCAAGGTAGAATACCATAATATGCTTCAGCATGATATATTCTCATTTATGTATGCACATTTGTATCTGAGAAAATGAAAAATTTTGTTGGCGTACGTAGAGCAGAACTGAACAGAGAAAAATAAAATCGGAAAATGTGAAATGAATAATATGGAGTTTGGAGTTTGTAGTGGAGTGGGGTGGGGAGATGCTCTTCAAGGCATTAAAAATTTATGCGCTCATGTATTTATGTGAATGGGAATTGAATTTATCAAAAAATAATTTGCGATCTCAAAGCTGCAATTCGCCTCAATTCTCCACAGACAATTTTTATTGCTTTCTTGTTTTTTTTTTTGTTGAATGTTTCGTTCGCATGTGGAACTTATTAGCTGCATATGAGAAATGTGGTAGATTTAAATCATGTGGAACACAATAAAATTATACAAAATATTTCTTATTTCTTCATATCTCAGCGAGTTCTTTTAATTTGCATGTTTTGGATGGAAATTCGGTTGAATTGGGGATTGTTTGACTAAGCCATTCAACAAATGAGGGCTGAAAGAGGGCAACTAGTGGTTGGGAAATTTTTAAGGGTGCGTTCATGACTGTGGTCTTGATACCAAACCTTAATCCAATTCAACATTTGCACTTTGCTCCAGCCACCATGATAAGGCTCAAGGATCGTTCACATATGACTGATCTTGATTTTAAGGCAAGGTTCAACTAGAATTACCTTGCATTGTGCCCAAAAAAATTAATAAAACTAATCTCATCTCAAACTAGGCTATCCGGAGGCCCTCGTGGCGTCTCTTATCAGGGTTAAAATTTGATTACTTTAATGTAAATAACTGTAAGACGCAAATAACCATAATGTTTTTAAGGTCAATCCTACCAAAAACCTCACAAACCCCCTCGAACTCGAACCTTCTTAATCCCACTAAAACTTTATAAATAGCTTCACAAAACTTCACATGGCTTCACAAACCTCTTCAAACTCGGACTTAATCCCACAAAAATTTTATAAATGTTTTCACAAACCCTCTCAAACTCGGACCCCCTTAATCCCACTAAAACTTTAATTATCCCGAAACCCACCATGTCTTTTCACAAAGCTTCGCATGGCTTCACAAAACTTCACATGGCTTCACAAAATTTTATATGGCTTCACAAAATATTCCTGACACCAAAATTTTCCCGCAAACCCCCTCAAATTCGGACCCCCACCTTGTCAGCACCCTTCAAATCATTGGCTTCACACGGCTTCATAAAATATACCTGACACCCACCTTGCCCCCCCTTTTCCAACTGACACCCACCTTGTCAACACCGAATATTTACAGACATATCAGACCTTTTTATAGTCTTTGAGTGCTTGAAAAGTTTTTATTCAGTTCATCCAGTTAAAGAATCACTGTCTTAGATCCAGACCTGTTAGACAAGTGCCTTTGAAAAGGTGCATAAGCTACTAAGTCATGCCTAGGTTTATGTAAAAATGAATTCCAACAACCAGACATTGCCTTTAAGTTGGCTGATCATCTGCTTGGTTTTTCAGAGGACATTCCTCTATTTTTTTCATAGACACGTAGGATGCACTCTTTTTTATTTTCAGGTGCTCTATTTTTTCAAAAAAATATCTTGTCATCCTACCTTTAAGTATCATGTAAATGACCGACTGTGAAAATAAACACAGTACATCCTTAAATCAGTATATTTTTCCAAATTCTACATCTATTCCCATAAAAAATTACACTTCCGATAAGCAGAAATTGCATGTCATAAGGTAACTGCAAGTCAAATTTACTTGTACGACTTGATTCTCACGACGATCATCATCTTAATCTCCTTCTTATTCTCATATCATCTTATTCTATAAATTTTAGTTTTTTTTTCTCATTCTTCTGATGTTCTTCAAGTTTGCGTCAAGAATATTAATAATATCACGTTTTTTTTTTCTCTCTACTTTAGTGCCTCTTCTTCTTTTCTATTTTGTTGGTTTTGTATTTTTTTTTATTAGGTAAAATTATTATTGCATATGATACATACTTTAATAAATCTGAAGATGTAGAATGTGATGGAAATTATTGTGGTAAGAATAGTGAGTTGAATGTGGAATTTAATCTAATGGGGCGTGCGGGTAGATTTTCTTTTTAGATAGTAATGTATAATTTGGCGTGAATCAGCAGGATGTCAGTATCATTTAATTCAATAAATATTTTTTTTTGCTGTAAGGAGGTTTATATTATTTAGGAATTTAATAAGGAATTTTTGTTTTGGTTGATTCAAAATTGAGTGGCTTTAATTCTGCACAATCGGAAGAATTTTGTATTGCTAGCTTTAATTATTTCTATTTTTATCAGCTATATCCAGGTCTGATTGAATGATTGAATACTAATAAAAAGATAGTCAGGGTTTGGGCTTGTATTTTTTAAAAAAGGAGTTGGGATTGGAGGGGGGGGGGGGGGGGGTTGCCCAGTTTTTTAATCAAAAATTACTTTTCTTTTGAAAATTTGAAAATCGTCTTTTTTGGTACGATAATAATTTTTGTTAACATAGAAGAGGGGGTGTTGTAAAAGCACTTAATGGAAGGTAAAGTCCGCCTAGTTTCCGAGCCGGGAATAAACCTAAGATAAGGACCTCTTCGTGGCTACACCCCTGACAAAACTTTTGTTTGTGACTGTGGCTGGATCATATTTATTTCCTTACTTCGATGACCTTACAGATCAACTATGATCCATGGCTTCCTCAGATGCCGCCTAAAACCAACTCCATCGCTTGACAATTTCCTATACAAAATGCAATACTATCTCTATCAACAGCCTATATAAAATGAGTTCATTGGCCTTTAATGTGCTCTTTTTCCATCCACAAAGTTCTACTTAAAGACCTTACTAAATGGAGCTTCCACTGATCTCCTTATAACATGGCTAGATCATGCCTAATTAAAAACTGATTTGGAAATATAAATAGTAAAACAAATTTTTCATACAATTTTGAGAATTTTTTTATTCACATCTCATGAATGACATAAAAATAAATAATTTGGCACAAGGTAAGCTGACACCACGCTGGACCGAACTAAGACTATTTGTATTTATGTCATTGTTTAAAATTTATTTTTCCAGCAATTATACTCACAAAATAAATTACATAAATTTTTTAAAATATTTATTGTCAAAATTTTATTGTCATGTAGGTATACTTTTTGTTAATATGTAGGCTTACAGGAAGTTGATTTTGTGGACATTTGTGAACATGAGATAGATGCCCATGAATATATTACTTTTTGGAAGTGTCTTATTATTTTTTTTTTAAATTAATAATGTTCGGCTAAGTTGCAAGTCTCAACTTTCTTATTGTCTGTTTTCAGTTCCCAACAAATCCTTAAGGAACAGCTTATATTAGATGTTATGTGTTTTCACAATTACACATGAACATTTAATTCATAGTCATTCAACAATTAGGTTACAATTACTCCATCATCAAAAATGATTTCTTCGTCAAATTTCAAATCAGGCCAAACACATTCAACAGTAAAATTAAAAAGTTTGGCAAATAAATTTACAATATTATCAAATTCAGACTGACTTAATTTCATGTCTTTTTCAAAATGTATGATTGCCAATGAAAAATCAACAATTTCAGATATTTCTTCTGTAAAATCATTGCAAAGATATTCTTGAAGATTTCGAAGGTCATTGTTTAGATCCAAAAGTGAATCCTGCTGAAAGATACTTCTGCAATAATTCCGTCTCTGTTTCGAAATTTTATCACTTTCGAAATCAGCAACAAGTTTTGAATCAAGCTTGAGTTTCTTTAGTCTTATTTTCACACAATCCAAATCTTCAAGTGGAAAATTTTTCGTCAATTTCTTCTCCAAAAAGTTTGCATATTTACTAAAAAATTCATTTGACTGTTTTCCATAACATTGATTTATGGCTGATAAAGTAAGAACATAACCTTCTGCATTAGTGATTATTTCTGATCCATACTTTTGGAGCTTCAATTTCTGTGCAACACAATTGTAGTCTTTTGAATAGTTGCTGCTAAATTGCTTAATAAGTTCCAAACTTTTATTTGAATAATAATTTGATAAAGTTTGCACATTTTGAAGATTAAATGTAACTTCTCCAGTAATTATAGCTGCATCTGGAATTTCTTGTGGTTGTTCTTCTGCTGATGCTTCAAATAAAACGAGAATATAGACCAAAATCAGAAATTTCAATAACCAGACCTCCATTTTATTAAATTTCAATCACTTCAAAAAACTTTAAAGCACAAAACAATAATTTCCAATCTGCTCCTGCGTATCCATGTTCTCTTCCACTGATATAACTGATGACTGATATGAATTTTATCATAGATTTCTCTTTTATACCCGACGAGAAATATTTTATTTCATCATCAACTGCATTGCATTAATTTTCATTGTTATACAAATTGCATTTGCTTGTCATGAGTTAAAAATAGAACCAACTGACTGGAATCCCTAGGCAAGGAGATTTTGTTGTTGTGTTGAAAACTTTATCATTTAAAAATGAGATTTAATCATGTAATAAGTTTTTAGACCCTTACTCAATCTAGCATGAAGGTTTGAAAGGAACAAAAAAATATATAGTCAGCCTACAGACAAGTGCAGAACTTTCTTGAAATGTACAAGCTCAAGTAAATAATAAAAATGCATCTACAAACACTTATACAGCATTCCAAGTTGTTGCGTTGCTAAGTTACGAAAGTTAAGGATTACATTTACAATTCTTGAGAAATGTGATCTTGAAAACGACTTTTTTATGTTTAATGGAGATTATTTGCATGTTTTGTAACACTAAAATTGGGAATTTTTAAACTCCTCCCCCCTTCCAGGGGCGTAGCCAGAAATTTTTGAATGAACGGATAAATTTAATTTTTTTTTAAAATTTTTTATTTTTATAAGTTTTTCTCTTCTTTGTAGAGAGAAGAGGGGAAGGGGGTTGGGATTTTTGTCCAAAAACCGCAAAAACCCTAGCAAATTGAAAAAATTTGTCAAAAAAGGGGAAGGAATTGACCCCTAAAAATCCCCTTGGCAAAGCCACTTGCAACGTTTGATATTATTTTAATATGGATTATGACAAAACTCAGCCCTCCTCCCCTTCTAAGTCTTGCCAAATATACAAACGACTTCTAACTAGCTCCAATCTTTGTAAAGTCAATACTTTGACTTCAAAGGATTTAATTAAAAATTCTTGGTATTTGAAACTATTAAATTATTAATAAGATTTGAGAATATTTTGATTGAAAATGAGTTGGATGCTAGGGAGAAAGCAGGTGGAAGGGAGAGGATTTGAATGACAAATTTACCACAAGTCAGCAGATTTTTGCTAGAGTTTTCATTAAAAAAATTGTAAAATTACCTCCTTCCCCACCCTACCCTTTAAATTATTGGCTATGCCCCTGTGAGAAAGCAAATTGTAGCTATTGGGGATCGCAAAAATGGAGAAGAGTAGTCAAATTGACATAAAATTTTCTTAAAATGACTGTTCGCCCTCCTTTTCCTGTTTAAAGCTGTTACAATCCCCCAAGTTTTGACCCCATATCTCAATGGTTCTCAAACTGTGTGCCACGGTACACTTTATCTTATAACCCCAAACAAGTCGTCATTTTCATGAAGAAAAATGTGCCGCAGACAAAAAAAAGTTTGAGAAACACTGCCCTAGCTACACCCCTGTTCTCAAAAATTCAACAAAATAATCACTTCCTCACCCAAATTTTATTGATATTCTTCCAAAAAAAAAAAACTTTCACAAACTTCACTCAATTTGCAAAACACAAATAAATTTAAACACATTTATGCCATGATCTAAAAACTTCTTAACAACAATAAGCATTAAATTGAAAAATTAGTTTTCGTGCTTAGCAATAAGAAAATCGCTTGTTAAACAGAGAATGAAAAAATTTTTCATGCCAATTTACCAACTGAAAAGCGAAGAAGAATGAGAAGAAAGAAACTTGAATGGAGATGGATGAACGTGACTGCAGTTTCTCTGCAATGTATATCTGAATAAATAAATTTATGAGCGTTCACATGAAGGTAGAATGATGGAAAAGTTTTTTTTTTTTTGGTTTGGGATGCACTCGTAATTTATTTGAACGACAGTTGTCATGTTTTTCTCATCATCATTATTATTTTCATATACAGCATGCGAACTTTTTTGTGAAGTTTTTGAAATCTTGGATTGCTTTTTGAGATTATGAGATTATTGGAGAGGGTTTTTGAGTATAAGCAGCATTTATGCTTGAATATTTTGCCAGCTGTCAATGATAAGTGTCTACTAAACTGTCTTTTGAAGCTTGTTTTTGTAGGGTCTCTTTTTAGGGGTGTAGGATATGTGGTATATTGAATAAAACAATCTGCAGCAGCTATAAGCACCTAATCTCAACAATCTTAATAAGTTTGACTTTATTTGGTATTGATTCCTAAGTCTTCTTCTCTATTTTTGCTTAATATGACACCTTACTTACTTCGCTGGCCGTACAGATCAATTGTGACTCATAGCCTTCCTTAGATGTCGCCTGAAGCTGGTTCTATTGCTGTCTACCGTTTGCCAATTACCAATACCAAATGCAATACTATCACTGTCAACAGCTTCTTTCGAAGAGTTCTTGGGACGTCCGCGTGATCTTTTGCCAAATTATTATACCTAGAATTCTATTCTTCCTTAATATGACACCTATCAACCTATTCTTCCTAAATTTGGCACTTAGTCGCTTACCCTTCTTTAATAAGCCCTTTAAGTCTGTTTGTCTTTCTTATTATGAGGTTTTACTTCCTATCCTTCATTAATATGCATCTTCAATTCCCTTTTCATACCTAATATTGCACCTAGCTCCTTATTATGCTTCCAACGCCTCCCGTTCAACTCTCTTTTGGAACCTTCCATAAAAACAATTATAATCAAGTCATATCAACATATTAGCTTCATGAAAACATTCACATCAAGGGAGCACAACATCCAACTTTAGATAATTTAAAAGTCATTCTCTAAAATTGTCTTAATATAGCTCGAAGCTCAAAAGCAAAATAAAGAGCGACACATAAGTTCATGTCATGATAGTTTATAGCTTTGCACTCCAACTAGTTTCATCGTTCGCTTCTTTTTTTTTGCATAGCAACATCCAAGTGCCAATTAACTGTAAAACTTTCATTTCTCACATTAATTTTCAATTTCATAGCAATTTCAACCAATTAATCATGAGAGAAAATGGAAAGAGTAATGAAGACATTTTCTCGATGTAATTTAAAGCTTCTTCTTTAAATTGCCTGTTAAACGGATTTTTACATTGCCTATGGCAAACACTCTGTCTCAATTCAAGTCGTTCTCGTTTCTGTTTCACAATTTCTACCCCATCTAAAATTCATTTCCAGTCTCATTCTTTATCCTACAATAAAAAATAAAAGAAGAGAGAAAAAAATTTAACATTTAAAATGTCATTTAAAATGGTCTATAAATTTACAGACACAAGGAAGACGAAGATGGAGACTGGAGAAGAATTGTAAATTGTCTTTTGGAATTATTTTCACATGCATAAGTTGTGACTTACTCAGAATAATTGTATTGGATGAGCTGTAGGGATTCTGGAGAGGGTTACCTATGTGATCTTGGGTGGGAGTACCTAGATGGATGTTGAACCTAGAATCTTTTCTGGATTATGGACTATCCTAGGTTAAAATCAAGTAATTATCCGAATAGTATAAGTCGATTAATCGAATAGAAATCCGGTATCAAGTTGGCATGGTACTGGCTTTGATTTAAATCCAGCTGCATGCCAGAGTTACACCGATTTGGTGCCGGATTTCTGATAGATTAACCGACTTGTGTAGGTCAGGTTATTTAATGAAGCTGGTGTCCTAGAACATAGTATAATCTATAATAGTGATGACCAACCTATGTGCCGCGGCACACTAGTGTTGGGCAAAAAAATTCGAGCAATTATACGAGCTGCATGCTGTGTTCGACTTTGTTCATGGCTTCGCCCTAAGATGTGCCGTGGAACACAGTTTGAACAACACTGACCTAGAGCATGACTTGGAATTTAATCCTTATGGTATTTGTTCTAAGGATAGCTCATTTTATATGTTTACCATCATCTTATGTTTCCCTTTGAGCCTTATAATGAGATTTTACACATATTAGTTCAGTTGTAGCTAGTTTCAGCATTATGTTATTAATTTTAAGGTACCACGAGCATATTATATGTTTGTGGACCCATCAAAACTCATTTTAATCTCAACACAGACTGTCCCTTAATTGTTCAAGTCCTCCACACACAACATCCAAGGCCATTGTACCAACAATCCCAATCTTACCACTCTAATGCCTTAAATACAGCCTTAACGACTCTTCAGTCCCCCTAAAATAAATCTCATTGGAAAATGAGACAGAAAAATATTCGCAAAGAATTTTTATGCCTTAATTTACCATTAATCGTCTTTTTATTCCAACAGAAGTAAACGAACAATAACAATAGAGCAAAAAAAATAGAAACGGAAATAAATTAGAAAAGTTTTTTAGTGACTGAAACCAAAAAGAAGTTCTCGAAAAAAAATAAACTTTTTAATTACAAAAATTTTTAGTGGAAAAATTTTAAATTTATTATTTGAAGCATTTAAAGCACTTAATGCCTCTTTTATGCTTCATAATTGTTTCCAGTTGATCTATGAGATTCAGACTGGATTATGTTCAAGGTGCTAAAAATGTGCGGTAAATAAACTTTGAATTATTCATTAATGTTTCAAGTGAAGTTGCTTGTGAACGTGGTATGCAGTATGAATTAAATTTCCTGTAGATGATAAAGTTTTGTTTTATTTAATAATTGTATATATTGTAATTAAAATATGGAACAATTATTTTTAGATTATGAGGATGTAGATAGTTTGCGTGATGTTTATTAATTTAGGTAACGTTGACTGTACTTTATTGAGATGCTTAGGAGGGAGGTTTATTTGTGACACAAATGAAGTTTTCTTTTGTAAACATTTTTTAAGAAAGGAAGATGGTCAGAAGGGTGTTAAGCGTGAAAGGGGGTTTGGAAATCAACCTTGTTCTTTAAAGAACTTGTTCAATTTATTAGGATTTCCCATCCTTAAAAAAATTCAACTCTCTGGAAATTTTTCGAGATTTGAAAAGGTTTATTTTTTGTTGTTCAAACTTTTTGAACCACGACACACCTTGAGGGTCGTTTACTTATGACATTTACATTTAT